AAGTTGGCTTGGTTTTACAAAATACCAAATGGTTGGATACTGACACTGTTTTAGCAGAGAAATATCCTCAATCCCTCCACCCTACTATTCACTTTCAGAGTGAGATTGGCTGGCACCACCTGTTTGCTGGCCACCTTTCACTTCAGCAGGTCACTGATCCTGATCTTCATTCCAGCTCACATTCCCCAATTGTGCTGGGGAGTTATTTAGTGGAAAATTTTATCAAATCATGCATGCCGTTGCAGGAACAAAGAAATAAAGACCTCCACAKWCATACCCTTTCTCAACAAGTTCTGGTTCTGGCCAGCATACTAGTAGTAGTCCCTCTTCTAGTTCACATGGTTAAACAAAACTTGAAGATTTTTTCTTTGTAATTAGCAGGAGAAACCATGATAAATRATGCAACTKTATTTTGTGAGGGGAGGAGGGGGGGGTATGAGCAAATATTGAGGSTTCAGCACTATTAGCAGACAGTTTCCAGAAAATCCGGAATTTTCAGTAGTAATAACCAGTAGAATYATGTACAGAATTTAGATGTTGTAAGAAGAATCTTGTGAGTTCCAAAATTGTATGTTCTCCTTGAGATTTTTATTTGTATTTTTGTTACCATTYCCTATTCTGTAAAGAGAGGGAAAACACAAGGTGAGTCAGGGGTTTGGCTGGCAGGCTTGGCTGCTCCTTCCCTTTTCATTCCCTCCTTTGACTGAATGAGGTTACATGCTACAAAGGATAATTGGCAAKATGGAAAGTATCACTAATTTGTGGTCACATGTGTTGTAATTTAAAGGTGTTTATAGATAGCTAATAGTTTTTTCTGAGTGTACATGCCTTGAAGGATAAGTAGTTCAACTTTTTCTAAACTTGTGTTGCTAAATGGTGCCACCCGCAAATGTATATGCCCACAAAAAGAAAGAAAATATTTACTTTTTGTCAATTGGAATTTGTGCAGATCTAACTCTATAAAAATGAGAAACCTTAATTGGGAGGCTCAGAGCAGAGTTATGGAAAAGTTAGTACTAACAACTTACAGGTGTTTATTGGTCATAACATATTACATAAATTTTAACATATATRGTAGTATAAACAGCAGTGGTCATCAATTTAGAGGGGCTCTTGGCATGTTTCCCCCMCTTGTTACAAAGCAGCACCAAGGCAAAAGAGARACTAGTAATTTTCCACATTTGGTCCAAATTTCCAAAAAGTCCCCCCTGGATTTTTTTAAAATCTCATTTTTAACATTACTGCATGACACTAGAAAAACTATTCAACTTTCAATTAAATAACAACTTTGTGAAAAATACTACCTAGCCMACCTGTAAACTGTACCAGTTTTTAATGAGGATAGATATTTTTCCACTGTTTTACTGTTGAATTGTTAACTTATTACTTCCTATGTCTCCAAGACACTGTACCCTACTACTCACCTTTTCTAGTAAAATAAGCTCAATATTTGGGCAATTGAAATGCTTCTTTTTGTACTYGTTATCAGCAGATCTATCATAGTGGTATACACTTGTTGTGTTCAGTGGTGCAATAGATTTATAGCATTGGTGCACTCTTTATAGTTATTCAAAGATGGCCTTTTTTCATTTAAATGTGATTTTACCATCATTTGGCTTCTAGTGGTCATTCAAGGGTCAGACTTGAAGCAATAGAAAGCTGAGAGTGTGAGAGCTTTATCATAATATTCTTATTGTACTTAGTGAGAATGTTCCTGTGCAGTCATTGTGAGTTGTCACTAGAGGGAGCCAAAACTTGCTTGGATGCATACAGTTTCAATCTTTGGTTTCCCTTGTTAATAGAGTTTATTTYAATGTTTCATAAATATAAAACTAATTTTTAATCACGTGCTTGTGCAATTATTTTTATGGTAYCAAATCTACACATTGTACACAGTCATTCATTGAATCCAACTACCAAAACTTCCCAAACTGTTAAGTAAATAGGGGAAACTCTTTGTGTTGTGGAAAGCAAAAACAATCACAGGATACAGTCTTTTGGTGGGACAGAGGGAGTACTAGTACTAGTACTAGTACTAGTACTAGAATGACTACTTCTGGGGAATTAGTAAAAAAGGGATGAAGGACAGATAGCCCAAATTACAGCTTGGGACTGGACTGGTTTCATGGTTGGCGGGACAGATTTTGTAGAAAATTTGATGAAGGACTGACTATTTCTACTAAAGTTATAATAGTTCTACTACTAGTAGTAGTAATCTAGTCTTACTACTAGTACTACTAGTAAAAGTACTATCTAGCACAACCAGCCCAGTGTCACCAGCACTTCAAATATCCTTTAATATCCAAGAAAATGGTATATTTCGAATCCTCATTAAAAACTGGTACAGGGCAGGGCAGGGATAGGCTACTCYAAAAATTATTTTATTAGTATTTTTTGATAAAGTTATGTATTTGAAAGTTGAATACTATGGGTTTCATAGTAACAATTGAAACCCATTTTGCCAGCAGTGAGCAAAAAGTTTTGATTTGAAGTTATAAACTTTGGTTTGAATTTATGAACTTCAAATGTCCTAGTAGAAATTTTTCTATGTTATACTGAGCTAGTTTTTGGAAATGACTCAATGGCAATTCATGATTGAAAGACTGGATTCATGATTGAATGACCTTGGGGAATCAATCTGACCACAACAGCTCAGTAGAACCTTGTACATGATGTACAAGCAAAAGTTCATAACTTCAAATAAAACTTTTTGCTCACTGGTGAGACCAGTTTCAATTGTTATGAAACCTGTGGTAGTTTTAATTTTTTTTTTGAAGAAGTTAAAATGAGATGTTTTAAAATCCTGGGGAGACTTGTTCTGTTTGGAAATTTGGACTAACTGTGGAATATGATTTTTTGATGGTTTGCACAGCACCCCTCTAAATTATGATCCATGGATATGTGTTTTGGGGAATTTCAGTGCAATGTTCCCAATGCCTCAATTACTGTAGTAAATGTTGAGTAGCATCAAAATTACATGTACACACACATGCTTGGTTACTGCGTGGAACAAATAACAAACACTAACAAACATAGTTATTTTTGCCTAAGTACACTCACCTCAAGCTGGTTACAAAGTGCACAGACTGAATTTTGTAACCAGTACATGTAACCAATCCCTTCTCTATAGAGATGCCCTTCTTTTCTCCATGATACTACTAGTAGTGTGGTTACAAAAAAAGTAGGTCTGGTTACAAAAAAGCGCACAGTGCACCTGTGTGCGCTTGTAACCAGGCAACCAACAGCAGGTACTCTGTTACTAAGTACAGTACAAAAAAGAAAATTACTTCTAATTGGAAGCTTAGTACAATCCCATGTAAAAATACAGTAGAAATCTATCCTCTGATCAGCAACTTGTATCAGAGCAGCTCCTCCATATTGTATCAGCAACTCATATCATATCATATCATATCATATCATATCAGCAGCTCCTCCATATTGTATCAGTGGTGGTGATGGCTCCACATCCATATCATATCAGCAACTTGTGCCATTTCAGCCAGTGCCATACTATCAGTGTCATCTGTATCAGGGGATACTGTATCAGGGGACCCTGTATCAGTGACTCATATCAGCATCCTTTGTAGTACTAGTAGTATCAKCAAGAATTTGTATCATCAGCATCATACGCTCACAAGTACCATCTTCAACACCAACAAACTCTCAAGCTTGTTGGTGTTGAAGATAGTACTTACAGTAACCTCACTTTGGTCTTGGGCTACTACTAAAGAAGCTCTCAGCCTCAGTGATGTCACTCACGTAGTACCATCATAAATGTACTAACCAAAAAATGTACTCTGTTGAGGTCCATGTTATTAGTATCATGAGAAAAGTTTTGTACTGCACAGTACAAAACTTTTCCCATAGTATGCAGTTCACAACTTTTCCTATGATAATAAAATGTGTGAGGCAGTACCACGTCAGGAGTACTWGTAGATAGTGCTGGGCGGTGAGTGACAGCAATAACACCACCACCAAGCTCATCCACTCACCACTCTTTATTGTAATCCCTATATTATACAACACTATTAAAGAGCATACATACATTTTGCAGCAGGTTATGAGCAGCAGTAGTGTGAGGTAGTACTAAGTGACAACAATAAGAAGCTCATCATCCATTTACTCTTTACTGTAATCCCCATATTATGACACAAAAGATCATATCGTACATACATTTTGCATCAGGGACCTCAACAGAGTACATTTTCTGGTTACATTTATGGTACACGCACAGACAACACGCCACAGTTACTATTACTATCATACTTGATTCTTGTTTTACGCGTATTTTTGTCGCGCGAAAGCTTTAAGCTTCACTAGTGATTGCAATTGTGATACCAAAAAAATTTAAAAAAAAATGTCTTGTCATTAGTTGTCCCATTCATAGTAGAACACGTGCACAACAAGTGTGCAAATTCGAGAAGCAACGAAAGAAGGCAGTTGCCAAATTCAAATAGTCAATCTTGCTAAATTTCCAAGCACTCTGACGTAGKGGAATAGATTTGTTTCTAGACATTTACGACATGATATTGCATTTAAGATTCTACGAATAACTTTTGTTCCTAGTTCCTGAAGGTTCGATGAATTTCTGATTGAAAAAATAACTAGTAGTACTTRGTACTGTAAATTCGTACAGTGCATTATGGCCCCTGGTACGTACGGTTAAATTAGGGCAGTACCGTACGGTAGTACGATACTATTAYTTCAATGGGATCAATGGACGTTTTTGTAGAATGCTTCTTCGACGAAGGTTCGTAACGTACCGTAGAAGTCAGATCCAGCAATTTGATCCATCGTCTCACGATTAGATAGATAAGAGTATTTTCAAACAATTAGGTACCGTACTCGTACAGAACTTCGTACAATTCTAGTGGAGCGCAGTGAAAATACGTGTTGTTCGTGGCGCCTAAATAACAGCGACAATTTTTTTGTACCATACGTACCGGTACTGTAGGTCAAAGTTGGACACAATCACTTACGCTGCGAAGTATCTTCCACAGAATGCCTCGCAACGGCAACAGCGAGAAGATTTACCCTCACCAAAATGGAGGAAACGGAAATACAAAACGAAAACACCACCACCGGCTATGAACTGGCTGCTATTCCRGGATCGGAACAGGTGCTGGAAAAAGAGAATCCGATGGAAGCTTTACATTGCTTAGGAGAATGCGATGACCAAAACTGGTCTATTGGCGCAAAGCACTTGGAACTTGAAATCTCCAGCAGTGATGCAAGCACCAGTGGCGTGACCGTTCCRGAAAAGGATTGCGACGAGGAGACCGAAGACTCTGCCGAAATAGACATTATCCCCGGTTCGGAACAGGAGATAGAGGCACAAATCGAAATTCTAAATTGCTCCGAAGAATGCAAATCTCACAAGCCGTCCAACGAGACACAACAAGGAAGAACGGCAAGGACGAGCAGCAATACTAGTTCATTTGGTAAATCAGCTGTGGTCGTAAACAATGGGGAAGAGAACAACGATTGTTCTGAACATGACGATTGCTGCAGGTCGAAACTGGACCGGGGAAAAGGGAATGATGAATTTATGGATTGCTCTGAAGAATGCGAAGCTCGCGAAGGGTCTATCGAAAGAAAACGAACAGGAGCGGCAAGTTCCAATAGCAGTAGAAGCAGAAGTAGTGGTTATACCCTTGCCACTATCCGTACCGACAGCACGACAGAATACTACGAAACATCAAACAAAATCGAAAGACCTACGGTCAAGTCGGGAGAAGTCTTCACATATGGCCGTTGCAGCAGCAACAACAATGTCAGACGTGAACTGCCATCCAAAGCTTCGAAATCGTTTGCCTCCATGCGCGAGAAAATGTTTAGATCGGAGACTTCCMTGAATGGTTTCGCTTCCGATACTCCATCAGACGAGTCCGACGGAGGAAGCAAAAGGTTGATAGATTACCGGCAGGAATTTAGAGAATGTCACTTTGAAAAAGAAAGCTCGCRCTCCCTGTCGTTGCGAGGATTGATGTTTGGTGATTCTCAGCGAGAATTATTCATTGAAGAGCTCGTAACAGACGGCGCTGATAGCACAAGAGGGATCAAACAAATTGGGCTGGAGGAAAGCAAATGCTTGAGATTCGGGGAAGTTTCGGAAAAATCAGCAGTTGAAATAGAAGAAGGCGAACCGGATCTATACCGTTCCGTCCGTTTTGCCGATGATGGTCCAGACTTGATTTATGATGCTCATTCATATAACAAASMRTGTGCAGATTTCCTGGAAGACATCGTTTTCGATGTTTACAATCAATCCGAATCAAATTTGCTTGCAGATGATATCACAATCCCAAAGGGGACGAGTTTATCGACCGAAAAGCACGGCCCGCGCGTAATGTATTGTGATGATCCTTTCGACACTTCTCCCATAGAAAATGACGAAACTGCAAGGGATGACACCGCAATCATAAAGAAAATTGCAACCACGATGCTATACGCTCTGGGATCTTTCGTTGTAACCAAGGGTATTGTTTGGTTGAAGAAGTTAATTAAAAAGCTCAGCAAGGAGAACGAGGATGTAAGAGAAATATCGAATACTGTGAATAAGAATGACGTCGCCGATGCTACAACAGACACGGCCAAATCAACTACTGGAAATTCTGGTGGGGGCGGGAATAGTTCTTCGTCATCCTCATCTGGATCAGCATCAGCATCAGCATCAGCAACAGCAGGTGCATCTTCTGCAGCTAGCGCTGCCGCCGCGGCGGCAGCGCAGGCTGCCGTAATGCAATCCATGGCGGTAGCAGCAGCATCTTCAGCAGGCGCAGCATCTGGAGCGGCTGCAGGAGTTGCAGCCGTCGGTGCAGTTGTTGCTGGCGGTGCTGCAACTGCTGCAACGACAACAACTGTGGTACGTGGTTTTCAATTAATTATTGTGCATGTTGTGTCGAAACGACAGCCAGGAAACGTATCAAAGGGCATTGCTCGTCCTCGATCGTGTAAAGTTTTAWGTGCCAAGCAGATTATGATCTAGATGCATGTATCACGTGTTGCAATTCTTCGGGCAAAACTTATATATCCATGAGTTGATTCTATTCTTATGCTGAATGTTTGCTTAACGGTAATTTCGCCGATATCTTCTTTTCCAAAATTTTTCTGTGCGTTCATTAGGTTGCAACGACTGCCACTTTAGGCCTTGTTGCAGCATCAGCAGGCGCAACTATGGGAGCGCCATCGTTTTTCAGAAGTAACCCTGGTTGCCCAGAGATTCCCGTTGAGGTGTCTAGCCCAATGATATTAACCTTTGAACGAGATTMGCTGGCGATTGATTTGTTGAACGAAGATACAAAMTTTGAAGAAATAGGAGATTTAATTGTGGATGCTTACAACGCGATTTCTGATCCCTGTACCGAGGCTTACCAGAGAACRATGCTCAATTGTACACATGAATTTACAGAATTCGATCGCATAGACAACTATGTTAGTATATATTGGAGGCCATTCGTTACATGCAACGCTTCCTGTCCAGTTACAGATCCTCTCTTTGGCAACGRCGAGTTTGAGTCGATTTCACGGATGCTAAATCCGAGATTTTTGCGAGCTGAAAACTTAATAATGGATCGCTTTCAATTCATCGAAAGTCTCAAATTGAAACGGGAATTCTCTGGTTTGAGAGAAGTTGTTGAGTATCCAGTCGACTCAACAGTGAACGAGCAAATCCAATTGAGGAATGAAGCAATGCCTTCCGGATCACCATCTATCGCTCCTTCTTCCTACMGTTCTTCAAACCCCAGTATGGATTCGTTCATCGAACCAAATGGACTTCCGGAAGAAATCCAGAACGAGTCGCCCAGTGATACTGATAGTGGGTCTAAAATTCCATCAATTGTACTGTCCAACGTTCCTAGTTTTGTGCCAACCTTAGCGCAGAGCTCAGATATAAGCGCGATACCTTCGTCAGTACCGTCTGAGTTGGTGCTACCAAGCGATGATCCTAGTCAAATTCCTAGCACCATTCCCTCGAATAGTATCTCTCGACCGCCAAGTTCAACACCTTCTATCCTACTTTCATTCAAACCAAGCTCAAAACCCTCAGAATATCTGAGTGTTGCTCCATCAGCCTTCACTTCAGGAACGCCTTCGACAACACCAAGCCAAGCTCCCTCTATTACCTCAACATCCAATCCTACTTCTAAGCCCACTTCGATGCCAACCAGAATGCCCACCCGAGTGCCCTCAATTGAACCAGTTTTGGAACTATCCTCAAAGCCCTCAGAGTTCCAAAGCGGTATTCCACCATTAAATCCTTCCATCACACCTCCAATAATAGCAAGTGAAATGCCTTCGCCGAGTCAAAGCTCAATCCTCTCCGCTCAGCCATCCTTCGAACTAAGCTCAATACCTTCAGAGTTTCCTTCTGCACAGGCTTCGATAAGTCTGAGTTCCATGCCCAGCTCATTGCCATCTGTGTTGCTATCCCTAAAACCTAGTGATATTCCATCAACTGTACCCTCAACAACCCCTTCGTCAGACCCAACCTCATTGTCTTCTACCAATCCTTCTTTGGATTCAAGCCTAGATCCAACAGCGTCTCTGAGTGGTATTCCATCGGTATTGCCTTCTATAATCCATTCAGTAATACCAAGTGATGTCCATTCTACAAAACCTACCGACATTTCAAGCTTGATGCCCAGTTCTATGCCCACCTCAAGGTCGATACCAAGTTCAACACCAAGCAATACATCCAGCCAATTGCCTTCTACTTTACCATCTGTAGAACTTAGCTTAGAACCTTCAGAATCTCCAAGTGGTATTCCATCACCATTACCTTCTGAGGCCCCCTCAACAGTACCAAGTGAATTGCCTTCTTTAGAACCCTCAACAAGACCCAGTTCGATGCCCAG